TATATTATAGTTCTAATCTTATAATAATCTTTTGATAGCGAACCTTCAAGGATTAGTCAACATATTGAAGTCTATATATATTATATTCAATTCAATATAAAAAAATTAAGCCTTAATAAAAAAAAATTAAAAAGAAGACCCCATATATAATTGATACTGACTGACCTTTTTAATGGTAACTTTTTCATTACAAACTAACACACCTTCACCTTTAAATTCGGCTGTGATACCTTCAGATTGTAATAAACATTTTAATTCTGATAACTTCACTTCACCTACAAATATAGGATTATTATTACTAGTGTTTTCTTCTATTGGTATTGCACCTAATATAGGGAGAGAATAGTCTTGTGGGAATGAAATTTTTCCCATTATGAATAATATAAATAATATTAATAACCAATTAAAATTTTATCAAGGAAAAAATTTATATCTAATTATATATGGATTTGTTTCACCTTTGAAAAATTTAATAAACTGACTAATGCATCAGTCAGTTTGACTTGATAGAAATTTATGCAGCTGAAACATTCAAAGTTTCTCCAACATTTAGTGTATAAATGTTTTTAGTCATTGATTCCAGAGCTAAACAGCTTTGAGCAAAATCTTTTGTTGCTCTTGTGATGCATGTACGACAATCTATAAATATATGTATACATATAAATTTATTTATATTAATAAAAATATTAATAATAACCATAGCCATAACTATTTATGAATAAAAGAGCAAGAAGTTTAAAAAACAATATTTTATTACTAATTTTCTAGGTTGTACTTGCGGTACTATGGTTTTCAATGATCTTCTGTCATTAGTTCCTTCCAAGTATATAAATTGTATTTGACATTTGAATGTAACATCTTCATTATATGATACATATTTTGTTGGAACATTGGAATCCAAAGAAGAATGATTACTATCTTTATCAAGCTTGTATTATAATACAATATTAATTAAAGTTTAAAATTGTTCTTGGGGAACAAAAAAAAAACTATAAATAACTACCTCCTCTCTATCATCACCACCCATATCATCTCTATCACCAATTGGTTCAACACCGATTCTATCATTACCAATTAATCCATCAATTCTTTTAAACATATCAAGCGGGATAATTTCACCATAGCCATCATATATTTTCCTTTTTTCAATATATGGATACATCAAATAACTTTGCATTTGTTTGAAAAAACCACCATACTTTATCACATCATGAACATAAAGGCCAAATTGTTTTGCCAATAATTCTTCCATGACTGCATCTCCTGCTTCTGACTCTTCATCATCTGTCTCATCTTCTTCAATTATTGACAAAGATTTAGCAATGAGTGCTGCTTGTGCTGCATCTCTTTCCTGCTTCTTGCATTGTTCTGTTTTTATTCTAAAAGTTCCACCCCTTCTAAAGGAACCTTTTATTAATCTTGATAAATAAACAAACATGTATTTGTGTGAGATTATTTAATAAATACAAAATTTTTTAAGGCAGTCAGTCCATTTGGACAATAGATAATAAAGTAAATTTACCATCAAGTTGATAGTTAAATCCAAAGAAGTTGCTGATTTAACAATTCCTTGACTTAGTTGACTATTACAATCCATTCATAATATAATTTTCTTGCCAAAGAATTTGGTGATCCATGGTCGGTTAAAATGAGAGCATTTATATCTGATTTTGACATTTCAAATAAAATTCACGGGAGAATCCTGTTTCTAAACTAACATTACTTGCAAGTACTACCTTGGGTCTTGTATGCTTTGCAAGATATTTATATCTATGGTATAATTTTAGATATCTACATAAATTGTTATAATTCAATATATATATATATATATATATAAGAAAAAGCCCAATGTTGATCTAAAAGATAAGCCAGCTCCAATACACATGCTGATGAATCTGTTGGTAATAACACTGACCCTTTTTTTTGTAATGTATTCATTATTGTTTCTTAAAAATATATAAATAATAATATTAATTACATTCATTATAATTATAATATAACTGGCTTATTTTTTATTTTAAAAAAAATCAGTACCGAATAATGCAGTATCATGTAATTTCCTTGGTGGATGGATTACAAGTGAATCATAAGCATCAGTTATCATTAAAGAAGGTCGACTTAAAGCATCTAAACAACACCATTACTATGCAAAACAGCTCCATCTAAATGTCTACATTTAAGGACATTTTATACATCTTTCAATAAAAATTATAATGATATTATTCATGTATATACATATATATATGTGTGTGTGTGTATCAAATGATATTTAGCAACCTTTCTTTCTTGTGATTATAGTCAACTGCATATACAATCTTCAGTGTCCTTTTTTATCTCCAAATTGTTCCACCAAAGTGTGTCCGGCAGAATAAGCAGTGATTGTTATACCCTTACATTTACCTGTTAAATGTGATAAATGTTATGAAATGGAAATGAATTGTATTAAAAAATATGATTCGATTGTTTACTTACCTCCTAAAATCATTGGTTGAGAATATTTTAAAACGTTAATTCTCTCAAAAGCCAAATCAACATTATCCAATGCAAGAGTATTAAATTCTATTTCGTTAACTTTTGATTGATAAATATCATACATACACATTCTACCCATACGAATGACAGGAACTGTTGCATAAACAGTATAATTAAGACCAAAGTAGTCAAATGCATATGGATAAGCACCTAGATGAGGTAGATCAGGTGAGAAAGCAACAAGGCATCAACCTATATAGCAACTCTTATTTATAAAAATTTTTAATATAGCAATGAATAGATGAACAGAATTAATAAATATCAACCTTTTGTACACAAAGTTTTGTCTAATCATTATAAATAATTACTGCTCATCGCCAATGGTTTGTTTGCCATTCAGAGCCGGCCGGTATATTTTTTGTTGGAAAAAGCTATACATCTCAAATGCTTCAAATCATCTAAATTAAATTCATCGTTCCAGCCACAGTCAGGTAATATTTCTACTTCATTATCTATTTCTAATAAATAACATAAAGCGCCTTCATTTTTCGCACCAGATATAACCATAAAGTCCAATCATCTACAAATGATAAGTGAAAATTTTTATAATTGAATGGGGGGTTATATAATTTTGGGGTGATATTATTAATCCATAAAAATAAAATAATGAATTTAATTTAATTTGCTTAGTTATATTAATATTTTTCTTTCACATTCATTTACTCCTTTTTTCACTTTCGAAATCCTCAATTTTATTTATTTAATTCTTATAATAGCTTCAATTTTTTAATAAAGTTTTTGTAAAAAAGTCATGTATCCTTATGTTTTTGCAACCGTAGTAGTTAGTGTTGTGGTAGTTGGCTTTGTAGCTTATACAGTTTGTAATGAAATTTTAAATGAGCCAATTCCAGTTTATTATACAGCTAAGAGTAATAAAAACAAATCAAAGGATTCAGATAGTGAAAATGATTATGATTCTGATTCATCTAGTAGAAACGCTACAGGTCTTAGGAAAAGAAGGAAAAGTACAGGTAAAAAAAGTAAAAGTGAAAAGAGTATAAATGATTCAGAAGTAAGTTTTTTTTTTTTTAATTTTTTATGTTAATAATAATATTATTATTGCTTGCTTACTATTTCTAAACAAAAATCAAATTTTAATAATTAAAAGGAACAAGAAGAACAACTTTTAGAAAAGTTATCATATCTTAATGTTTTGGAACAAGAATTACATTCTAGAGCAAAAGAAATAGAAAACGAAGAACGGATTTTGAGGGAGAGAGAACAAGAACTTGAAAATAGGAAGCAACACTTACAATCCATCAGTTCAAAATCCAGTTCTGATTCTGATCTAACAAATACAACACACACAACTAACACACAAACCAACACCTCTGCTACTAATACTGTTTTAGACAATAACAGCAGTGATGAAATTTCATTAAAAGGTGTTGTTGAACAACATTCTTTGAACAATGAAAATAGCATTTATCCTGACACAGCTGCACAAGCAATTCTCTCACAAGATTTATCAATTATTAGTAATCATCACCTACAATCATCTATTGATAATGCTAATAATAACTATAATAACATTATCATTAATAATAATGGTGATAATCACAATAATAATAATATAAATGAAATCACTCTACAACAAAACCAGCAGCAACATCTACATTTATTTCACGATTCATCACCTAATCCATCAGAAGATGCATGGTCTGAAATTGAATCTATTAATTCAGAGGACATTGGAAGTGAAATGTCATCTGCAGTTGACATTGATATGGAAGAAGTAGATGTTATAGAGCATTAATTGATTCGATGAAATTTTTATTCTTAAACAATCTAATACTGATCTACACAAAGTTCAGCCAATGAAATCGTAGTTTTTTGGAACAATACGTGTTATTTATTATTATTATGTAAAATATTTTGCTTCGTTTCTTTTTAAAATATAATATTAAAGAAATGAGTTTCTTGTCTATGTTTAACAATGCAAATCATTTACTATTTTTATTACTTTTACCTTTATCCTTTGATCTTGGTGGCCCAGCAACTGGTTTAGCATTGTCCTTTGCATTATTTCTATATTACATTGTTTTGGGATTTGCTAAAATTATGTGGCAGAAAAAACATGGTTTCGGCTGGGCTATGGTATGTAATAATAAATTTTTATTACATAATAATAATATTGTTTAATAGCATGTAATAATAGTAGGTAGACGGTTAGAGCAAGGAAAGGGAGAACGAGTTGATTGAATTATAATTTTCTTGGACTATTACTTTGTTGGACCTATATATTATTGAACGAATTTATTTACTAATTAAGATATAGAAATGAATAAACTAGTAATGTATTTAATGATTATATATAATCTTTTTTATTGTTGACTATTATATTTAGACACAAATCCTAATCTGGGCTCAACCA